TGAAAATCAGAAGTGTTTTGCATGTCCGCTGATTTTCTGCTATCGAAAAAAATGGATCTGAAACTTTGCATCAAATTTGGTGTGAAAAATGGGATAAGTGCTCAAAAACACTTAAAATGTTGACAGTAGCATACGGTGTCAGAAAAATGTTTACAAGTGGTACACGCTTTCCACAGATGGTCGATAAGATGTAAATGACGACGCTCATCCTGGACGCCTAGACACATCAACAGCCGATGGAAATATTGAGAAAGTGAAGAAAATTATTATGAAGAATCGTCTAGTTACTATTAGATAAGTTGTTGAAGATTTCGGCATATCGGTTGGCTCATGCCATGCAATTTTAGGCATGAAGCGTGGGCACCGGAGTTCGTTCCAAAATTGCTGAATTTTCACCAAAAAAACCGTCGCATGAGCGTCGCTAAGGAATTGTTAAATAACGTCAACTGCGATCCAGATTTGTCTAGAAGGGTGATGGGTTTATGGTTATGACATCGAAACAAAAGTTCAGGAGAGCCAAGACCAAAAATAGCACGCCAAATTTGATCAAATGTCAAAGTTTTGCTCACTGTTTTCTTCAATTACCATGACGTAGTGCATCAAGAGTTCTTGCCACGTGCTCGTACGGTCAATAGGGAGTATTATCTTGAAGTTATGCGCCGCTTGCGTAAAGCAATACTAAGAAAATGTCCGGTATTGTGGAAAAACATTTCATGCCTTTTGCATCACAATAATGCACCTGCTCACTCTTCATTGCTTTTTTATGATTTTTTGTCCAAAAACAACATCGTAACCATACCTCAGCCACCGTATTAACCACATATGCCCCCCTGCGATTTTTTTTGTGTTCCCAAGATTACAGAGACCCATGAAAAGGGCGGCGTTTTGCGACGATTGAGGAGATGAAAACCGAATCGCTGAGAGAGCTCAACGACATATTAAAAAGTTCATGTCAGAACTGCTTCGAAGATGATGATTGATGAATAAATAAATATTTTTTGTAAAAAATTAAAATTCACCTTATTTTTTGAACAGACCTCGTATATGGCATCATTTTTTGGGGACCCATTATCAGTATTTGAAACAAGTATTACATCATGTGATGTAATATTCCTGCAAACAATTCTCCCNAAATTATCTACATTTAAAATGTATCGTTAACAAGATATTTCAGTTATTCTGTAAGTCAAATGCACATTTCCAACATGAAACTATGGGCCGACATGGTTATGGTTGAATGAATAATAAATAAAGTAAAGATTCATTTCAAATGTTTCATGAAAGATCCGAAACTCTAAAATATCAGAAACTTTATTTTGAAATATGTTCTAAGGCGTTTCTATTGATTTTCAGATATTCAATTATTGTCGGATAGATCAGGAGTATATGAGCTGACTTGTGGCTCATTACCCATAACTGTATATTGGTCAAATAGGGAGAACATTTTCCCAAAGTATTAAAGAGAATAGAATTAATTTTGTGAATAGAAAGACCAATTTCACATTTGCAAATCACCTTTTAGCAGGACATGAGTTCAATTATCAATACGACGTATTATATTTAGAAGAGAAAAGTTCAAAATTCAATCTTCTAGAATGTTTACTAATCAATATATTCAAGAATTCGGTTGATTTATTGAATGACCAACTCCCTGTCACTGAATATTTTTTCAAATGTGGAAAGTGGGGCATAAGCTCAGGTAATTCAATTCATTACAAACTTAGGTAACACTCAGGTACTTGGAATGTAGACACTTCAAATTGTAGAATTAGGTATATTAGGCATTGAATATGTAGAATATATTTAATAAAGACACGCCCGAAGAAGCCAATGTATGGCGAAACACGTGTTTCGTTTTTGTAGAATTATTTAGTGAAAATGTCACAATAAATTGTTTTTTGAATACGTTATTCAATTATTCTTTTTATACAAAGAATCAGGTTTGATTAAAAAAATATAAAATTCATTTGATTATTATGTACATAAAAACTGTCTTTTTGACGAATTTCTAAACCTCATACGACTCTCCTGACCAACCCCGTACTACCTAAAAGGTTCAAAGTATATTTTCATAAACAATTTGGGGTATTCACGACTTACGTACCTTCACAATTTCCAATTTGAAGTTATTTGACCATATTGCTCTCGATCTTCAAATTAAAAAAATTGAAGTAGTTTCAATTTATATCAAAGCAAAGCAAGCAAGCAAGCAATTTATATCACGCAACAGAAAAAAATCCAATCAGTGGTTCCTTGATGATCCTTGATGATGTCGAAAGTACTTAACATGATTGGTCAGTGATTCTCAGATGACTGGTTGTGAAGTTATACGTGATGGATCGAGAAAAAAGCCTATTGCAGAAGAATAATGAGTTGATATTTTGAGATTTGTTGTGATTAAAACCAGCAAAAGCGGATTTTGGGGTATGATGTTCCGGATAAAAGATTGCAGTTCTGTATGGCTCTGATCTGATCGCATAACTAGCAAATCAGAATACACTAGCTGCATTAGTGTCGGTGTTGTAGTTGGTCTGACAAGAAATTACATTTATTTTGAGAAAAGCACACATGCTATCTACAAAGACAAAGTTTTGGTATTAGATAACCATATGGTTTCTCGATAAATTATTGTGAGGATCAAATATGTAAGGTTGAGAGAAGGAGAGATCTTGGTATCCTTTGACGTATCTTCGTTATCTCGAAGTGTAAATATATCACAAACAATCGAATATTTGAAGGATCTTTTAGATGAATATCACTGGAGTTTGGTGTTGGTATAAAACTCCAGTAATATGCATTACTACACCAAAGGTTCCAAACAGTGCACCACAAGATCTTTCAGATGTTGATGAAATAAATGGTGAAATAGTCGAAATTTGCAAGGAACAAAATTGCTTCCAGTTTGCCAACTATTTTTTATGAGCAACATGACGGTACGGCAATGGAAAACCCGCTGTCTTCTTTCATGGCTAATCTGTTCATGAGCAGATTTGAAATGGAAGCAAGGAAAGAGTTGAATTACTTTCCACGAGCCTGGATCTGATACGTGTATGATGTATTTTACATTTTCGATAAGAATAGGTGTAAGGTAGGGGATTTTGTATTTTGCCTCAACAACAGATTTTTAAGTATAAAATTCACGTATGAAACTGAAAATAATAAAAAATTTACATTCCTGGATGTGTTACTTATTGAAAATGTCGATACGGGTTTAAAATTTGGTGTATATAGAAAGAATACAAGCATCTTCAGGTATATCCCTGACAGCTCCCGTCATTGCCCACAAGAAAACATAGCGGGACTATTATTTCTTGTTCACAGACTACTCACATATCCCTTGAGCAAAGAAAGGTATGATAATGAGGAAATAGTTAATAGGGAGGTGGTTGAAAGCCACGGGTATCCATTAAGCATAGTGGATAAATTAATTAGAAAACAAAAATTTCGGGAGTATCTTCGTAATGCCTCGACTTTTCAAAAAAAGGAAGATTCAAAATTCATAGTGCTACCATATGAACCCAAATACACCAATGAGTTGACCCGAACATTCAGAAAAATGATTATATAAGAGTTGCTTTCAAAACTGCACGTACACTTTCCACAAGTATTGGGCAGTCAGAAAAAAAAACGATGGAACTTCAAATCAATTTATATCATCAATGGAAGTTCAAACTGATGAAATGCACCACGAAACATTGTCAACCACCTTCAAACAAAAGTCTGGAATCTACGAAATAAGCTGAAGGAATTGTGATAAGAAATATGTTGGTCAAACCAAACAGACTATAGTAGCAAGCTACAAAGAACATATCTCGCATGTTCGGTTTCATAGACCGAAGGAATCTAGTGTTGCTCAACATGCCAGAAAACGACCACAGAATGAGTGAAGAATTTTTAAAATTGTTGAGACGGGTACATGACAACAGGTTTCTGGAGGCCTTCGAAAGCTTAAAAATCAAAAAGTGTGGAACGAATTCAATGACTAGCGACAAAGGTCCTATTCCTGATTCTGAATAAGAAACTAATAAATATTAGAGAAAAAATGTAGTGGATAGTCACTAACATAGACAAACTAGAGGTATTAAAAAAACAGGTAGTTTACCATAGGAACAATAATTGGTAATAGTTATGTAATACTAACCGGCAGTAGTTAGGTACTACTAACAGGTAGTAGTTAGGCCACTAGCATATAAAACACTAACACAGTAGTAAAATTTACTCATAATGATCTCCTGAGGACGCTAACTCGATTAGCGAAACGCGCGTTGATAGACTGTAATTTTTTCTGGTGTTGGGGAAGTGTTTTCAATGAATTAATTCTTAGTATAAAGGGCAACCAACCCCGTTCATGGGGTGAGCTGACTAATAGATCTCTAGAAAATCGATTACAGGTTTTCTATAAGTTTATTTTAATCGCCTAGTAGTTCAGTCATCATTTCTTGCAGGACAATCCAAAGTAATTGTTGAAACAGCTAGAATTTAGATGTAAATGTAAAAACCTAGTCAACTATGTCACCTCACAAACCACAAGAGGAGACTAAATCATCTGTCGGTAACAAATAAAAAAAAATGATAGGTGAAGAAAACTGAGAAACAAACAATAACAACTATCTCAACCTAGCGAGGAATTTCGGATCTCCAACGTCGATTGGCAATAGGAGAATGCGTAAGTACTGGTCAAAGCAGTTAGTCAGGGAGCATACATTTATTCTTGTACATTTCAGGTATGGTTTTCTATGGAACGGAAGATTCCAATTACTATGATGTTAAATGAATAAAATCTACTTGTAACTCAATTACATTGTTAATATCCTTCGAATAAAGATCTTAAAAGGTAACGTAGTGTTTTGAAAGGTCACATAAGAACAGTTTGATCTAGTGCTAAATTGAAACGTAACAACTATGCCCGAACTCTCCAACTCCCTTCAGCTGTAATTCCGAAGGAAGAACATTTTTCATTTCAGTTTTTACTGATGGTACTTTTTCCTAGTCTTACTTACCTCCGATACTGGCGTTGTAAGCAACTCCTATTCCACAAAACTGATTGTAAGCCACCGCAGCTACTTCTCCGGCACACCTGGTTCCGTGCTTGTTATCGCCATTGTCTTGGGGCATGGGATCGTCATCGTTGCCATTGATATCGGTACTGGCTTGAGGGTCCTGGAAAAAAATGATTTTTTCAATTTTAATTTCACAGGAATCTTGATTACACGCTAGAAATCTGATTTTTGTTACACAGTGACACACTTACCAAATGAAAGCGAAGTTTCATTCAATAAAAGATTCAATTGGATTTTAACTACGTAGTTGGTTGGAAAAATAACGTGTCATTTTGAACATACTGGATATACAATGTTATGGAAATTATCTGACAATCATCAGTAATTTCACAATGAGAAAAAATAAAGATTTGTCTAAACTAGTAAACTAATAGGATTTCTATCGCTGATAAAATTGGAAACGAACAAGAATCGTGATTTAGAGTTTTAAAGAGAAACTTTTTTATGGAAAAACGTTAAAGTATCAACAAAAAAGCTTTCAAAAACTTTTCTAAAAATATTTTCAAAGGTTTTCTCCGTTTTATTGTCATGTGTTTTTGTTGCAGCAGATCTCAATAAATACCTCAATTTTGAACTCGATACATTGATACTTTTAATTTTTTCCATGACTGACCCATGTCGTCAGCGTCTGCTTCCATGCGGTTTTTGATAGTTTAAAAGGTATTGGAAAGGTGAAACAGTCGAAAAGTAGGTGCCATACGTTTTCGGAATCTGTTCTTCTTTGCTTTTGCGCAAATGAAATGATTGTTTGTGAATCGGATCGTCACATACGATGAAAAGCAGACCCTGTACGACAACAGAAGACGTCCAGGATAGTCGTTGAACACCGATGAGCCATCCAGGTACTTTCCAAAGACGAAAACCCACCAAAAAAGACCATGGTTACTGTAAGGTGGTCATCAGCTGGTGATTTTCTGCTACAGGGCTAAACAATCGCGAAACGTACCTAATGTTCCACTCTTGCTCTACAACAACGCCCGTACAAATCATAGCCCAAAAATTAAACGAATCGAGTATCGAACTTCTGTCTCACCCACCATACTCCCCAGAAATCTCTCCTCCACTATAATCTTTTCAAGAACCTTCGCCAATTATGCTGACGGGATCAATCGATTTGTGTTCCGTTGGTAAGAGTGGCGCTAATTCTCTTCATCAAAACCATTTTCGTTTACCGGTAAGTCTTCCCAAAATTTCGAACGATTTTGAGGAATATCGATGGAAATGTGAGTTGACTCAAAATGTAGTTGAACTCTATGAACAAATAGAATTCTATTCATCGATCTATCTTTTACCTTTTGTAAATCAACGGCTACAAAAATCGCATCATCTTCTTTTATTTTCTCTGCATCTTCCTGTTAATTTTTCCTGGCGTTAATTACTTTTAGCTTATGAATTTTCCATTTTATACGTACATCGCAGTTAGCAAAATTTTCTATATCAGCTTCATGAGACGTGGCTTTTTTGTGTATTTCAAACCCCAGCATTCTTCATATATTGGCAAAGGATATATTCTCAGATCATTTGTTACAATTTTTCTATATAATTCGTAAGAGAAGTTTGTATTTGGATATTTCATTATGAAATGGTATGAACGCCTTCTTCATCTTTTTCAGGAGCTATCAATCTCGGATCCATGTTTCGTATATTTTTCAACATTCTGTCATTTTCTTTTCCGTACTTCAATGTTGTTAAAAAAAATCTTACAAACGAGTACCTTTTCGACTTTTTCAGATGTTAAATAGTATTTATAGGAATATACTCTTGGTAATGTTTGATTTTTGGTTGTACTTCTATGTTTTTACTCTATTTTACTTTATCCAAAACAAACTGTTTTTGTTGCTCCTTCGGTAAAAGCCAGTACTGTTTATTAATGTCTCTTCGTTTAGTTTTTGTATGAAGTGCTTTTTCAACAGATCTATCTACAATTTCTTGTGAAATATTTTCTCGAATGAAGACCTGTACTGTGTTAAACTCGTTTTTTTCTGGTTCTATATCACCTAAATTCTCCTGAGAATTCTTTGTGTAGTCTTCTTGTTCAATATTTGGATAATTTGAATTATTGTAGGGTACCTGATTAACACTTTCAGGGACTAATATTACAGTGGACAATATGTGTATTTGTTTACTAAGTGGAGTAATTTGGCTATATTCGTACCTAGAATCTGACTCACTTTCACTTATATTGCCTGATTAATTAAACATCCCTGGTACATAATCTGGATCTTTATTACGTTTGGCTTTATTGATTTGGTTGGAGCTTCTAATCATTTTTGTTTTTTTTTTAATTGTAGATTTAGAGCGATAGATACCATACGTTTACCTTGACTACCACTGTGCCGGCTGACTGATGCACTTAAAGATATAAATAACTATCAGATATCGTTTAACAATACGTAAACATTGGATCCTTACCATGGATCCATTAGGCACAACATTTATTCACTCGAGAATGCAAAAAAATAAACCGGAAATATAACAATGAACAACACGGTTCATATCACTTAGTTATGTTATGTTATGATTCTGTCATGCTACCCTCAATTGCCCCAACGCTCAGCACAAAATGCTAGGTTGAATTGTCCTTACTACATTCTTGGAGGCAGAACGGCCTATTTATCTTGGTAAATGTTGGATAGGACAATTTGTAATAGCAGAGATGGCATTTTATCCACTTAGAAAAAACAGTTTGGTATTAATTGAAGCATTTGAGACGCAGATAGGACGTTGTGACTTTGCAGAATTATAGATTGAATGTTTACGAATACTAAGAGCCATTAAACTCAATTCATCAAATTTTGCAGATAGGACCTTTCTTGTTAGCAGGGCAGCATACCGTACAGGTATTTTTGAGACTGTCGAAAAATAGAGACAATGACATTGTTTTTGCTGATACAAGAACAAAAAAAAAACATCTGAAACGAAGCTATAGAAGTGGTAGTTATTGGATATTTTGAATCGTACCATGAAAATTAAATACCAAATATTATTGATAACTTCAATTTCAGTTATGTTACTGTTCATATAATTTCTAGAAGTATAAATTCATTCCTTATAAGTACCGAACAGTTTATCGTTTTTGGTAAGGGATACTGTCATTGATTTTTACCTTAACTTTGCTCAGCAGAATAGTTTCTCATATATTTCGGGTTTCGATGTATCCAGTTTCTCAAATTCTGGAATAATAGGAAAAACATCATTACTGGTTGAAAGATATTCCTTTCTTAGTACCCCCTGAGTGTTCTACAAGTCAGTTTCAGTGTTTGGTGAGATTCAGTTTGTTCAAGAATTGTTGATGAAAGATAAGTATGTGAATTTACGATTGAAATTCACAATGATTTCTTGAAAGAATTGTGTCCTATAAGTGAATAAGATTTGCATCATCAACAAAACAACACACGTGCCTTTGCTACAGTGGTAGGTATTCAATAACTTCAAGTACCATTTTCATTCATCAATGGAGTGAGGCATATTACTCCAATCGGTAGCCACCTATGTCACTATATCTAAAACAAATTGAAGAATATGTATAAATATGTTTTTCCGTTTACCAACTATCGTCCCCTTCACGAAGGACAAACCTCAAAAGTTGAAACTCGAGCGAGCTAAAGATTACCCGTGTTTCTACCTATTAAAGTGCGATTCCCATCACGGGTTGGACAATAGGCAGTGAAAATCATTTGGTCTCATGACTTGAACCACAGTTTCTCCTGAGGATCGATTGGAACAAACAACTCGCGTCAACCCAACCGGCTACCGTCCAACTAGTACTTTTTGTAAGATCCGCTGAAGGACCAGATTCCGAAGCAAAGTGCGAAACCATTGATGCTCTCAAAACTACAGTTATAGCAGAAATCAATCAGATAAACGATAGGATCATACCATTACTGAACAATGAGTATGTACAAAGAATTTCAACCCTTCTATGTCACTCTGATTTTGTTTTCAATTTTCTGAATGCGATACAGAATATCATTTTTCTATTACTTCTTTGTTTAGAGAAAAAATGAATTCACCTGTTAGAAAAAAAATCTGTTTAAAATCTGTTTTTCCGTTAATCAGCTGTCGCCCTCATACGAACGACAACTCTCAGAAGTTGAGAAACTTGTGCGAGCTAAGGACTAACGAGGTCTTACCTTTCAACGTGTGATTCCTAACACGGTCCTAACCTAACCTAACCTAACACCTGTCGAAGGTATTCTTTTTGAAGAGAGAAGATTGAGATGGTGACAATCTTTCTTGGTGAATGACAGAGGTTTGGACCTCTACTGCCCAAAATAGTGTTGACAGATTTCGAATCTTTGGGAAGAAAACAATAAATGAAACATGCTGGGATGGAACTCTTGTTGAACATGTCACCAGGATTTCTGAGTCACATCTTCGGAAAGAACTGTGTTATGTAGACCAAGCTCTTCAGGAAAATGAGTACACAGAGCAAGAAATCGAACGTACCCTACCTCCAAGAAGAAATACTTCACCTACAACCAGTACCGGCCACCAGTAGTCTTCTGCATTCACATAAACGAAGTCGAATATCTCATTGGAAAAATTTTTGAATATCACAACACTAAGACTATTCAAAACACCATCATAACACCATCGGATCGACCTAAGACAAAATATAGCTTTTGTCATCCACCGGCGTTTACAAGATTCCTTGTTCCTAAAGTCGAATTTACATCAGAACTACCAAACGCAGCATCAATACCAGGGTACAAGGACATAATCGCAACTGCCGCCTCATGTAACCAGAGAAATCCGAAATAGAAAAACATATCTTATCAGGAACAGACACGTCTACTACAAGACATTACCACAAACGGCTTCAAAGGAATTTCCATTGAAATCTATGAGCATCCCTATCAATTCAACAGAAGAGAAAAGGGTATATGAGTCGATGTAGTATCCAGAACTGAAAAAGACCAGAAATAGACTAAAATACAACTTGATCGACATCCCACCAGTAGCACACCCATCAACAACGTGGACAAATAAGAACAACATCACACGAGTTCGGACCAATCAATATTGATCATTCACATGATAACTTTACCACCAAAATCTCCTACTAGTTCGAATAATAGTGAACACGGAGCTCCCTAG